GTAAAACCGATGTTAAACACGTTATATAATTTCATTGTCACATTTACCTTCTTTTCCCTTGTCCCCAAACACTGTGTTCCTTCACTTCATTGAAATCTGAACTCTGTCACATCTCTGCTGTCATATTGGATTTTGAAGTACAAGAATCCTTCATGTTGATCTTCACAGTACACCATGAAGCAGCTCCTGACCTCCTTATTGGACAGCAGCTCATGGAGCTCTCACATCCATAATACCTCAGTGCCGCTGGAGCCTGACACTCTGTCGGAGTGGAACTCATCAGGGAGACCCGTCTACTTGTCTCTGGTTTTCTTTCTGTTCATGAAGGTACAGAAAATAAGTCTTAGTATCTGTGAGAACCTTTACCCAGAATCCTCAGGGACATATGCAGCCAACCAGGCATCGTCAACAGTTTTTTTGCCAATCAAATTACAAATGTCTTAATCACAGATGTATTTTGTATTTACATTTCCTAAAAAGAAGACAGTGGAATAGGAAACTGGATGTGTGATCATCTCCACTTCAGCCTGCTCTCAGACTGACACTGACTCATGTTGCTGCTAAAGCTGTTCAGAGATTCAGAGATTTGACTGTTGGTTGTGCTGTTGTTGTTTTTGTTGTTGTTGTTGTTGTGTCTGAGATGTGGATGTTGGTGCTGGCCTGCACTCTGCCTGTTCCAGCTGGATACTTCATGCCAGTCTTTGTCTACGGTGAGTGAAGGAAAAGGCTGAAGGATGTTGGTATTTTATAGAATAAGTGAATGACTGGAATTCTAATTCAGGAAAGGCTGTGTTGGCTTCACAACAGCCAGCTGCAGCACAGTTTGGAAACTGGAAATGTGCTGGAAACGTCCAAACATTTTTTTATGAATTTATATTAATAATTTAGTTTAAATGTGGTCTAACTGAAAACCCCCTACATGAGTTTTCATCAGTTTATTTCTGTTTTTATTCATCATTATGAATTGGATAGACAAGTTGAAAATAGAAACCCGGAATTTGCCATATGAAAAAGAGGAAACATGGGCAATGTGAACAATAGATCCAACATATATTGGTTGATAGGACAATGATCTGGGAAATACTAGTCTAAAAGATAAGATCATTTGAGTAAATGGGTACTTTAAGTAACAAAAATTATTAACAAATAACTTGAAATTAGTTACTCACATTATTCAAATCCCCACAGAAAAATAATCATTAATTTATACAGAGCCTGTCTGAATGCCATGGTTAGAAGCAGCGCCACATTATGTGGGTGTGTTAAGTTAAACGCCTTTAAACCTATATGTGTGTTTAATTTTTGTTTTCAGGAGCAGTGTTGGGTCGTTTACATGGAGAACTTGCAGCTTATTTGTTTTCAGGAGGAGGAATGTCCTTCAATCCTGGAGGCTACGCACTGGCCGGTAATATATATATATATATATATATATAATAGTTCTACCTGGAATTACCTCTGTAAATGATCTGTGGTTGAGGCTGCACTGAATAATGTATCATCTTTTATCATCTAATCAAACAGATTTATTCATCCGCACTCGACCCTGATTATAAAAGTTTGTCTTGACTTTAAATTATCATCTCACCAAGAGAAACATTTAATACTCTGGTTTTAGGGCAAAAATTAACCTGTGTAAACCACAGTGGGTTAATTATAGGTTAAATCTAATTTCACACTGAACACTGACAGCCAGCACTGCCCTCAGTCATGTTTGTACATTTCAGTTCAGTATTTAACATTTGTTATGACCTGTAAATATCTGTTCATGTCCATTATAGAAGATGCTGTATATATTGTATTTTATTATTGTTTTATTGTGTTTCTGCTTCATATTTTGTTTTGTTATTTTGTAACTTTCTACAATGTTCAATTTCTATGACAGTATCCCTGGTAAATCCTTGGTATCCCTAGTAACAAAGATATTTGCATTTGACTTTGTGTTTTTCTGTGTAAAAGGTGCAGCTGCCTTTTCTGGAGCTGTGACTCACACCATGTCTCCTGCTCTCCTGGCCATTGAGCTGACCGGTCAGTTCGCTCATGCTCTACCAGTTCTCCTCTCCACACTACTGGCCAACGCTGTGTCTCGCTCTGGCCAACGTCCATCCTTCTATGATGCCATCTCCATCAGCAAGAAGCTTCCTCATCTGCCATCAATGAAGAAAGTATATCCACAGTAAGCTAAAAATATATATAAATTCAGTATACTTCAAAGAAAATGTTCTGCTTTTTCAATGAACAGCACATCCATTTGATTTTCAAGCTTTTGAGTTTTCAAATGACTGATGTTTTTCATGATCAAATGTTTTTCTCTGAACACACAGTCTGTCCCAGTAATGATGATGATGTGAAAATACTTATTTATTCTGCTCTTTGTGTCACAACTACCTGTAATTGAAGTACAGCAGTCTCTGGGAACAGACAGTTCCACTCACACTATCACTGCAGATGGACGAAATGCTGGATTTGGTTGATGTGTTTAAGAACAAACAAAACACCTAATCCACAAGCCAAACAATGTCTGAGTCACTCTGAATGACCAAGAACCCAGTGAACCATCTGCACATCCAGTATTTTCAATTTGTGCTCCATGGGAACCAAAACACTGCTTACTGTTACACAATTAGACAGAAAACCCCCAACACATAGACATTACTGTGTGGATATCTGTGACCTGAGTGAACCCATACTGACACCCTGAGGTACGCCTTCTCTAACACATTCATCTGCCTTTCTTTATGTAATGAAATTATCTAGGAGACACAATAACCACGCTGCCGTTTTGTTCCATTTGTACCGCCTGTCCTTATATAACAGAGAGACGTTAAATGTTAATGTTAATAATCATTTGACTGTGTTTGTTATTGACATGAAACAAAACAGTCATATAAACTCAGGAACACGAGAAAAATGATCTTCCAATATACCATTGATTTTTTTTTAAATGTATAACTCATGCATGAAAGGAAACAACAGAGTGTAACATACTGTAGTACAGAGACTGAACTGAGGAAGAGGCAGAAAGACCTAAAAATCCACTGGAGCTAAATACATTAGGAACATGTGGTGAAAAGGTGGCTCACCCCAGGGCTGCTGAGACGGTCCAGTGGGACAGTAATGCACCAAAGACGGAGAGACGACTAGAGAAGGAACACAAGTGGAAACACTTTAAAACAAAATAGAAAACAGACCGAAACAAATCCTGCAGAAAACTGTTTACATGACGGAACATTTGCAACGTGGGTGAAAATATTCGGACTATTGTGACCTGAGAATGTTTGTCTTTGACTGTGAGTCACTTTGAACAATTACACAGAGAGACGTCATTTGACTTTTGTCGACAGCTTTTGGAAGAAGTCTGGTTTAATTTTATTGTCTTTCACTGTCGGCCATGACTGAACTAAATCATCATCGCACACAGCACTCAGACGGAGACGTTTTTCAAGTGTCTCTGAATCTCAGAGCCATCATGTCACTTCTGTCTGAGTGCAGGACATTTTAAACTACTTTTCTAAAATTGAACTAGAGCATCAACTGAACTTTCTGAGTGTTATATGACTAATATTAACCTTGAGCTGAGTTACTTACTTACAGTTCCTGGAACTTCTGGACCAAGAACTTCAATAGTCCTAACCTATAATGTCATATTATTTAACAGAGTGCTTAGTTTTTTTTACAAGTTCAAGTGCAAATTCATGTGATGTGGAAATGTCATTTTTAAAACATTTATCTAGTGATTGACCCAGTAGCATTAACCTCCAAAAAAATGTTAATTTAACTATAGTGTGTACAACGATAGCCTTGGTTATTTTAATGAATCTTGCTGCCCTCTGCTTATATTTTCTCATTTTATTTTTTTTGTAAAACAGAGAATTGAGATGAGTGAAATGGAGGGTGGAAGATTTAGTTAGAACTTCTGCCTTACAGAAACATCATTCCTTCTCTGTTTAAATCTCAGGTTTACTGTATGCTTGTAAACTTACCAATATGTACACCGGCCTCGCCACAAGGACTGCTGGGACTGACTCCAACTTCCACTATCAACCTGATGCAGTAAAAGAGTAAAGAATATAAATGTAAATGCCACAGTATTGTCAAAGGTGTACAGCCTAACTGCTGAGCGCCTAAGTACCCAGTGCAGCCTTCCCTTTGGTCCTCAGGAGAGGTTGTGTGGCAGAATGTTCTGTTGGTTTTATAAACACCAACACGGATTTGATGCCAAATTTACTTTTGTTCTCAAATTGTTTCACACAACTTGTTTTTTCTGTTGCAGGCTTCCCTTAGTGGAAATTGGACAGTTTCTAGGATCAAAACAAATTCAGCTTCAGAAAACTGCTGGACTTGAGGAGATTCAACATGTTGTCAACAGCAGCAGTGACACACAGTACCCTGTGGTGGACACACATGGTGGGTAGACAAGCTTCTTACACCACTTTATTGACATTATGTCTCAGTTATCCAACAAAATGTGAGACATCCGTCCTATGAACTATGACCAAAACTCTGCAAAGATGTATGTAAGATTTTTAGATTCTGTCCCTAAAGATCCCACGCTGAAGAGGACGGATTACAGGAGAAATCATGAAAAATTGTTACTGTTACAAAAGCAGCATCGATTCAGGGCTGTGAAAGCTCCTGAATGGAGAGCTGACGATTGTGAGAAAAAAAGTTAATCGGCCACCTGAGCCTTTCAGCAGCAATCACATGGACAAATCTTCAGTTTGCTACAGCACACACACACACACACACACACACACACACACGCACACAAACTCTAGCATGGAGTGCGACAACGAAAATTGATTTTTCTTTCTTATCTCCTATTGAAGAGTCACAGATTTTTCTGGGCTTCGTGCATCGGTCTGAGCTGCTGATTTTCCTGAGTGGCTGTGAGACTGAGGTAAATGCCTGGACAGGGTTCAGATTTACCCAGGGATTTAACTGTCTGACACTGTTTGAAAGGCAGGCAGTGATGTTCAAACAATGTTTGACACTGACTGACTGACTGACTGCAGAGCCGAAGAAGAAAACATAGACAGGAAATGCATCATGTAAATGATAATGTAATGACAGCACACATTCATCCTGAAGGTTTGTGCGGTCGAGGAACTCTCACACAGATTTATGAGACTGTGTTACCAGTAACACTGATATGTATTATTTCATACTAAAGAACTGAAACTAAATATTTTTATTTTCTCACTCAGACTGTGGAGAAACATCTAGATGACATCTGCTGCATCCATCCATCCTCTGTTCTGTTATCTCCTCACAGCACAGTTCAGGAGGTACGGTGATAGAACCATGGAACCATGTCTATGAGATTGAAGTAAACAGAACTAACAGCCTTTTTATTAATTTTCTGGTCTATTATAAATTCTTATACTTGAGAGACACCGAATACTTAAACCACTGGCATCACTACTCTGTCCATTATGTCCATATTATTATTATTACTCTGTCCAACCATAACCCTAACATATTAATATTAATTAAAAGTAATTATAATTATTAATTATAATAACACACGTGAGAAAGGCAAAAAGATCCAAGACAAATGATTGAATATCTAAATCATGTTGAGACGACTCTCTCAGGCTTAGTTTCATCAATATAGTTTTATCACGTGTGATGTTTATTGTGATCAGGTTTTTCAAGCCTCAAACATGGACAATTTTCAATTATTCATAGCCAATATCTCAATTGTACCTCTATTTGATTGAACCTTTTTTCATTTTGCAAATGATATGTAAATAAACAACTAGAAAATGTGTTTTCCTGTCACTACAGACCTACAGGTTACTGAGTCTAGCTGGAGAACACACACTGTTTGTCACAGACAGAGGGCGTTTGGTCGGCACGATCACCTGGACAGAGGTAATGGTTATTTCAACAGGACAGTTCACGGTTGTAAATTAAGTCCGATGTACTGCATCCAAAACTCTCTTGCAACAATGTCTTATAAAAACAGCAATTCTACATCATAACTATTGATTTTCTGGTCGGTGAATGTGATATGTTATGATCTTGGTGCTGCAATTTAGATTTATCCAAAACTTTGTAGCTTAGTATGTTCTTAACTAAAAAAGATGTTTACTCCTGACAAATGCAAAAAAATGTTTACAAAATAGCCTCATTATAAACAGGTGTGACGATAAAGCTGTAAACAAATCACTGACAAGATGCAAAAACTGTAGCATAATCAGTGCTGATTGTGTTTCAGCACCTCAGCTAAAAACCATCCATTACTTCCAATGTGTACGGCACTTTCAAAGTCTCACATGTGGAATGTTATCAGATATTTTGATCATGCTGCAGGATTCTGTCCATAGTTCCCGATGAATTTTTGTCTCTCTCTGCTTTTTGAACTTAACTGACCAGATTTAATATAATGCAGCGAGTTAAAATGACAACTCACATATCTCCATTTCTCATTCTTTCCTGCAGATGAAGAGAATATTTGAGGCCTTCACCTCAGAGACCTGAGCAGTGACACAGAGGAAATCTCCTCACCTTATTCCAAACATGAACACGTCCATCTCTGTCTGATTAGCTCGTCACATACTTCCCTCTCTAATTATTTATTTCCCATAATGTCTTCAGTCTCCAGGCCTAACAGCATTTACACACAGACAAAACTGTAATTAGCTGCAGGACCTTATCTCACCTCAGCTCATTGTCCTGGCTTTTATTAAAACATGAACACTGTGTCTCCGCCGGATAAACGCAATGTTGTGTCAGAGCTGTAATAAAGCAGTGTCTACGGCCAATGAGGACCAAACAAAAAACTAATTTAATACAGCGGCACAACAGTTGATCTGATATCTGCTATTTGTGACTTACTGCACTAATAAACATGTACATGTGCTTCTCCAGTGTTACAACAGAATGATGCAAATAAAGTAACAATTCTATAACATGTACCGTAGTGAATTAACAAAATTGTTTCTTAAAATAAAAAATTGAAATCTGTAATGTTTTAATTTTATGTTTTTCTTGAAAAAGAAAAAGCAAACGGAACTAAAAATGTACCAAGACTTTGTAAAAACGGGTAAACAATAAAAAAGTACAAACCAGTTAAAACCATTATTTTCGAAAGCCAAGTATAACTCACTCAACTAAAAAAATTAAAGTTAAAAAAATCTACATAAGGCTATTTTGCAAAAAATTGAATGTGTTTAAAATGTCAAATATATCCTCTGTGGCAGAATCGCTCCTGTTTGCAGTAAATTTCCTGTGCACTTATTGTGAAAACCCTCTGTGTGAACCAGTGCTATAAAGAACAGTGTGACGGGTAACATTAACACCTACATTCTCAAACCACGTCTTAGTCTCATATTTGCAGAATGTTAGCAGAAAATCACAGCAAACATTTGCTGTCGACACATACCTCCTCCTCCTGTCTCCTCCTTCCTTCTTTTCCTGCTCTGCTGCTCCTGCACACGTCACCTTCAGACAGAAACAGTGTATAAAATATGTTGAACATTTTCTCCATCTAGATGTCTAAAAACTCTAGTAGTAAAATTCTGCATTTCTCAGTGTAAAATAGACTTGAATCAAGTACTTCAAAGTCAAAGTCAAAAAAGGAAACAAAGTTCTTCTTTTTGTACTGCACAAAATTACGTTTTATAAGAAGATATTTACACCAGTGTCGTTGGACTTTTCACAGTTCTGTTCCACATCATGTAATTGAATTGAAAAATACAACAGTAGAACTATACACATTCACAAAGGTATAACCTCGACCACAGAGAACACTCTCTGTCTACACAACTGTGGACCAAACATTTAATATTGTTCTTTTTCTTGAACCTTTTCACTACTTTCTGCAGATTTGTGATAGAAACCTGTCTCTGCTGGTGCTTGACTCA